ATAATTACACCCAACCCCCATATTATAAGAGACGATCATTTTCCCTTAAAGTGAAATATTTTTCCTCGTCCATTCGTTTCATATTCCCTGGTTTTCTTTTCCCAGGTGTTTGGATGAATGCTTTTATCAATTCCATGATGGTTGGAAGCAAGGGTGCCATGAATTTGTTCAGAAAGAGGAGTTCTGTACAAGTTGAAGATCTGATTCTGTGAGGGTGGAAGATCAAGTTCCAATTCCTTCCAACATCATTGGCCGTGACTCTGGAAATTTGCTGAAGCCAGGGAAATGTAGCGGTATTTGATTCAAGAGAGGTTGTCCTAAGGCTTTGGAAGCTCTCTTGGCAGTGCAAGAAGAGGCACTGTGCAAGAAAATGTTGTGATGGTGGATCTTCTTGTTTTCTACTGTGTTTATCAAGAACATATATGGTGCAGTTTTCTTACAAGTAGTACCATTACTCGACCAAGGAGGAAGATAAAGAATTAAGAAGATGTTGGCAAAGATTGAGGCTAAATTGTTTATTAGTCTTGATGTTTTCTTCTCATGCACCAGGCTTGGAGCAATGAAGAGTGGCTTTGAGAAGTTGTGAGTGAAGAAACAACCACTGATAGATGGAGAAAAGTTAGAATCTATGTACAGTGTACATTGCAAATGGAGCGCTCTAAAACTTTGTTTGAACATATAGAATAATCATTTATTTGAAGAGCATATGTGAGAAAATTGATGAAGAAGATCAAGCAATTATTCTTTTTAGTTGATTATCTGGTTATTCTGAACATCTTGTTGATGCTATAGGGAAATTATTTAATGGCTATGTTAGAAATAAATGCTGCACTAAATTCTAAAGTAATTTAATGCCATGATCAATCTAATCAAGATAATGCAATTGAAGGGTTAATTGTGTGAGGAAGATGAATAAGTTGGCAGTCAAAGTCCATGAACCATTCAAGTTTTAAATAAAAAATAAGTAAATCCTTTTATTGTCATAAAGAGGACTCAGAGGGGAAGAATGAGTAAAAAAGTGTTGGAGTTGTCGCGTTGGTGGAGGAAGGCTATGGCAATGTTGAGGTCCTATTTTTCATAGATTTAGATCTCATAGATTTAGATCCAAGGAACGGATCCTTGACTCTAGATGCGAGGTCCTATTATTCATAGGTTTAGATCCAAGAAAGGAACGGATCCTCGACTCTAGATGCTCTTACCATGTGTATCCAAATTGGATTTAATTTGAATCTCTCAATGAAAGAGAAAGTGATATAATATATCTTAAAAATAACAATGCAAATAAACTTTAGGTAAAGGAGCTCTTCACCTCACACTTTATAATAGCATGAAAAGATTGCTCAAGAATGTAAGGAACATTTTGGAATTTAGATGAAATTTGGCTTCTCTTGATGCACTAGATTGCAATGTACACATCTATATCTGTGGCTAGGTAAGATTCCACATTTGTAAAGGTTGTTTGATCATCATGAAAAGAATATTTTTATGAATTATGTTTACAAGCTTAGTTTTTTTTT